TGCTGATGACGTCAGGTACGCGCTTTAATCGGGCGCGCTTTAGTGGACCGCGGTTTTGTCGTGCCACGGAAAATATTAGGTTTTCTGTATTTTCCAATGAACCACATTTAATCCAGGTTGCCTGTAAGAGGTTTCCAGTTAGTAGTATATTAGTTAAAAAGTATTTTGTTGAATGTGTGTGTGTTATCTGTTTGTTTCTTAATCAGTGTTTGTCTTAGATTGTGAATCCAGATAATTACTCTGTTTGATGACACTTGTTGGCATTTTTAAGTGATTCCATAAACAAAGAAATCAACTACACTTCTTAATTTAAAATTGCTATGTAATTTTCTTTAAGGTAGCTCGCTTGCAACATTTGTAGTTACAACTGGAATCAAATTATCAGAAAGGCAATTACACATATTGCTGAGGATGAACTCTAGCTGCCCCCAAAAACTTGTTGCATATTGCTGAGCCCCTTGTGTGTAACAACTTTTTTGCCTATTGTGGAAATGGAAAATATTATTATATTTTTTTTCTCAAAATCAGGCTCTTGCCTAAGCTTCTGTAAACATGAAGAATAATTTAATTCTTATTTAATTTAAACAGCATTCTTAAGGCACCAATGGAATTTCGTTTTTTAATAAGTGACACAAAATAATAACTCGCTCCGAAAGCTTTAAACCTGTTTAACTAAATTGAGGAAAAAATTGGCATTTAAATTCATGTGTTGTCATGGGTGAGGAGTATCTGGAATCGAAGAAGACTGATACAAATATAAATGTTTTGAGGGGATTTTTTGCTAGCACTTTTGGAATACATTCGACAATAGAAATTCTCCCTTAGACTCACATCTTTAGCTGAACTGTAGCAATAGTAATGCTACAAGCAAATCATTTGGAAAACGTATCTGGATTAGCTCTGGACATTCAGCTGACATTTCTGTTTTGAAAAATAACCTATAATATTATCAATCCACCAAGACTCTTACGTTCCCTTATCTCTGTATTCTAAAGATGGCATCTAAGAAGTTGCTCAGTTCTATTCTTGGAAATAACATTGTAATGTGAGCTTCAGGTGAAAGATGGCAACCAACCTTCCTTACTCTAGCTCAGTGGTTCCCAAACTTGGCAACTTTTAAGACTTGTGGACTTCAACTCCCAGAATTCTCTGCTGGCTGGAGAATTCTGGGAGTTGAAGTCCACAANGTTATCTTTTGAGAGCTGAATACAACAAAATTTCATTTTAATGTATGCTGATTATGTACATTTAAAGTGACATTAAAGTTTATTAAAGTTTAATCTATTTTATTCTTCTATTCTTAAGGTTGACAATTCTGTGGCTTACCTTATGTCAGTTTCATAACTTCGTGGAAATAGAGGTAAGTATAATAACACAAGTGTAATTAATCTGCACTTTATTCCATAGATATTGGAAGAGAGAAATTAAAAAAAACAACACAACTCCCTTTTAGTGATGTTCTTTCTGTATTTATGTGCAGTAGAACATAATAATAGAGATTTATGACTTTTTTTGTCATAAGTATTTTTCTTAACTTCATCAAAGGAATAATTAAACCAACCTAAATAATCAGATATGAAATTGATATATGAATGGGGTAGGTAACTGAAGAGTTTTTTTGGCACTATTTAACACTATTTTAACTAAGCCAAGCTTTACATTTAACACTTGGCTTTCTTCTATCAGACTTTCCCGAGATGTATCTTCTCCAATATCCCATAGAGTTATTTTCAAGGAATATTTCCTTTCATGAAAATCAAACAAATATTTTTTCCATCAAAATATAAAGCAACACATCTCTGTTTATTAATACACTCTTACTTCAATACAGTACAAATTTCTTAATAGTAATGATGCTTAGCTTTTACTCATCTATATGGAAAGTGCAAGCAGGAATGAGATCTTTAACAGAAACTAAATACTAATTGTTCATATCTGCTTAGCATATAATTTCATTAATGACATTATGATAAAACAAATTGAAACATGGCCATATACTGTATATTATAAATTAACATATTTCCCATGCTAATGGAATTTAAACCATATTCTTGGTAAAACTATGTATTTGTAACTAAAATTATTGTCTATTTGCGGATAACGTTTTTATTAATGTCATTTTGCCATTATAACTTTAACTAATGGGATTCTAATTATTCTTTTATCCACAAATTGTTTAAAATTCTTGAGACCAATATATAAAAGTACTGAATTTTGTTTGACTTTCTTTTACTGCAACTTAATCATTCTCACAAAGAACAGTTGCTTTTGATTTTTCTCAAAGAAAAATTCCTATGTTCTGCTTTATTGTTTTATTGTAGTACAGTTCCTACAACATACATATATTCTTTGCAAAATGGTGGGTTTTTTTCTTGAAAACATACCTTTTAAAATAATTAATTATTCTATATTAAATATTTTTAATAAACTTAATTCATTAAAAAGTACATTGTAATTTGAAGCTAATTAGCAATTTCTGAACTTTTTGTGCAGCTATTAGCATATACAACAATTTAGACTGATAGTAAGGCAGTGGAGATAATTCTTCCATGTCTCCAATGTGTTTGCAGATATTGTTCACTCAAGTTATTTCAGATGTCTATTATATTTTGAATCCAAGATAGTAATCACTCTTGTACTTTTTAAAGAATATTGTTAAGGAAATTACTTTGAGTTACTTCAACTTCATCTCTACATTTTGAGTAGATATTGAAAAGGCAACTGAAGCAATCATTTCGCTAATTCTGATAAGTAAACTATTTGGAGGAGGACAAGAATGTTACACCCCTTTTAGGCGGCCTGCACTGGTTGCCGGTTGTCTTCCGGGTGCGATTCAAGGTACTAATTATG